CTCTTTTATGGCAGGATCGCCTGGTACTTTTTTAGTGAATTCTGCAGTACCTTTGTCACCCAGGAGGCAGAAGACTGCTTTCTCCCCTTTCCTATGTGCTAACATAGCCATGTATGACCTTGATTTGTTCGGTATGATATTCCCTAGTCAAATATATACCTAATAGTAATGTGTCCTGTTCTTGTTGAATTCTATGAATTGTATGTGGAATTGTTATATGCGGAATAGACGTTTTATGGCATGCTCTGCATTCCTAGAGCCTTAATGGCCTTACAGGTCATGTGTGACTGCTTGACTGAGTTATTATTGTTTTATGAAAGGGCAGAAGAAAGTGTTTTTCAAGGTTAGTGGAAACAGACATCCTGCCAAGACTTTAGCTGTTTACAGCCTGGCCAGCTCTGTGTTTTAATTAAGATAAGAGGTTCTTTTGAAGTTATAGCTACAAATTCCAGTTTTTGGGAGGGAGGAGGGGAGGAAGATCATTGCTCATGAAAAACAAAAATGGCTGTCACATATAGGTTCCATGTCTCTATTGCACACAATAGTTACACCTCCCCCCTCAGGTGGTTGTAGAGGAGGGAACTGCAATCTCCCTTGTGACACAACCAATTCCTGCTGCCTTTTTGGCTTGTAGGGACACAGGTCCATTTTGCCCAGACGTTTAGCTTTGTGGGATGTGGTACAACTGCATTGCTGGAGAATCAGGTTCCTTCTGAGAAGGGTGCTGTTCTCCCTAGCAACACTGTTATGCCAACAAAGTGGGTTATGAGGGGTGAGTACCAGTCTGCTATAACCACCTGGATATCATGGCAGCTTCTGTGGTGCCTACCTGATCACAAGACCCTTCTGTTCAGGGGTGTCATATGCTAACTTACTGAGATGTAGCTTCCTGTATAGGTAGAGGATGAGATGTCCCTCTCTGGTCTCATTCCTCAAGCCCAGAACTACACCTGACTCAAAGGTAGTGGCACCTGTGTGCGCCAGAACCAGATAGGTGAATTTCGGGGCTCACTTCACAGGTGTGTTGACAGGTACCTTCGCCCAGGTTGAACAATCCTCTTTACATGCTGGCATCAATGACGCCATTTTCATCTGTTTTGCATTTGTTTGGTCAGTCACAGGTTCAGTTGAGCCATGATAGTTGCACCCAGGTGTCCTACTATAGCCAGCTGTACCCAAGAATGACGTAACCTGCTTTTTGGCCTGGGGAGTAGGCCAGGCCATGATCACCTTAGCCTCCCCAGTTCCAGACCTCTTGAGGTCTCTTCCTATCTGTGGTTCCCAGTGCTGAACCTCTGACCGCGGCATTCCCTCTGTCCCTTTGCCCACTGCCCATGACATGAGTTGTGCTGGTTGGTTGTGTAGGGTTATATTTAAGCCAGAAATAATTCTGTGTGACTTCCTCCCTGGCTTTAGGTTTTTCCCATAGACCCTGACGGGCCATATCAGATGGCACTCTCAATACATGTCTCCTAAGCTGACTGGACACAATGAGCAGCTGGTTAACTCTTCCAGTCCACAAGCCCCCTGCCTGTAGACTATTCAATCCTAGCTCCTCACTGTCCCAATCAAGCTGTTGTTTATCTTTCTCAGCAGGGAAGCTCACAGCTAGCCTGCTGAGGGCTTCAACACTTTGGTCACTCCCCACTGCTGGGACTACAAGTACCACCCAGCTGTCTACTTCCATAAAAAGACAACTGCTGGCGGGTTATCGAGGCAGAATCCTCTGGGCTGGAGCAAGGAAACGGCCTATCCAAACCATCCCTTTGCTCAGCACCCAGAGACTGTACCTCTGCCCACTTCATAGCACTGTGGTTGACCCCCAACAATTAAAAAACATCATCATTACATTCAGTAATTACATTGTTAGCATCAACTACACATGCGTTTGATACCTGCACATGCAAAGGGGTCTCCTCTCCTTCCCTAAGAGATGGAGAACTCTGTACTTCGACACTCTCCTCACCCTCCCTCTGTCCATCCACAGGTGGCCCAGATATTGACCCAACATTTGAACACAGTACCTTGGTATGTCCACAGAGTTCCGTGGGGGCATGCAGGGTGTTTTTAGCAGGTGCATAATTGGAAACAAGAGTACCTAAATCGGCACCCAACAGAACGGGTGTTTCATCCAAGACTCCTACCTCTCTCATCCCACTTCCGGCACCCCAATCAGTGAACACGTTAACACGCGGTACATGTGTTTGGGTCCCCCCAACTCCAGTGAGGGTAAAAAACTTTCCTGGGATGATGCCCTTTCTTTCAATCACCTCTGGTCTGATCAATGTGACTTCCGCCCCTGTGTCACAAAAACCAGTTACGGTCCGGTTGCCCACAGTGACCTGCGGTTGAACAGCCCTGCTTAGGGCACTACATCCTGAGATATCCAAGTTTCCCACAGGTGTAACATCTTCAGGTGTCAATGGAGATTGGTGGGACACCAGGGACTGCAGGTGCTTGGTGCAGGGAAACATGACTCACCAACTTAGGAGGGGTTGCTATAGGTGATTTTCCTCCTTTCCAGCCTTTCAGAGGAGCCTTGCAGTGGTCAGAGACCTGAGTGTTGACATAGGTATCTGCCAGTTCTGCTGCTGGTTTGGCAGATGCTGGTTCTCTCTTCAAAACATTCTGTCTGAAGTCTGCTGGACAGAGGTGCAGCAGCTGATCTTGGATCATGAGATCCTCCAGGGATTCAAAGGAGTTAGCTTTCAGGCCTCTTGTCCACTGCTGGAATGTGGTGCATAAGCGACTTACTGCATCCGTATAAGAGTAATAGTTAGTCTGGCTGAAAAAGCCAAAGTCCATCCAGTTCAACCATTTTGCAATTACCTAAATCGCTTACGGTACACTTCCGGACAATTGCGTCCTTTAGGGCTTCATAATCCTCGTCCTGCTCGCAGGACCACAGTCTATGTGCCAGCCGCCTGAGAGTGATTAACCCTTCAACACTCCCCGAAAGCTTTTCCTCAAAATTATATGTTAGTGCAAATAAAAAAAATATCACGGACAGTACTCAATTGTTTCTGTCGCAAATGCACTAATACGGCTACAATCACCTCAACCATCATGGATAGTGGAAACAGACATCCTGCCAAGGCTAATTAGCTGTTTACAGCCTGGCCAGCTCTGTGTTTTAATCAAGATAAGAGGTTCTCTTGAAGTTTGTTAAAAGTTACAGCCACAAATTCTAGTTTTCGAGAGGGAGGAAGATCATTCCTCATGAAAAACAAAAATGGCTGTCACGTACAGGTTCCATGTTTCTACTGCGCACAATCGTTACAGGCTAGATTAAGGAAGAGGCAGGAGAGGCACCCACCTTGGACACTTTACATAGGGGTTGCAGCAGGGACTTAAGCCTCCCTGCCTCCGCATGGCCCAGCCATGTCATGTGAAACTGCCAGCTCAGTCCTGCATATTACACTAAGAAAGTGAAGCTATCCTAATTAAAACACAAGAACCTTGCTGTCAGTTCAACAACTGCTGGCTCTGTGTCAGGAGCTGATACACTGCTCCTGATAAGCAGAGTGCAGGGGACAGATGGCAAAGTGACAGCAAAGCTCCAATATTTACACTGGGAGAGCTGCTCTCACAGTGTGATCTGCGGTGCTAGGCTCTCAGTGTGACAGCCCAGTACTGCTCTACCTTCATTTCTGAATGAAGACTACTGTGGTAGCAATCAATCCTAAATTAGCTTTTAAAGTGGTTCTAAAGGCTGAAGATTTTTTAACTTCTTGCATAGAATAAAGCTTCAGTGTGCAGCTCCCCCACAGGCTCATCAATACTTACCTGAGCTACATTTTGATCCAGCAATGTGCACTAGAGGAGTGGCTCTCCCAGGACTCTCTCCTCATTGGCTGAGACACAGCATTGGCTCCTGCTGCTGTCAATCACAGCCAGTGAGGAGGGAGTGGGGGTGGGACTGAGCCATGCTCTGTCTGTCCCATAAACGCACAGAGGCAACTTGGGAGTGAGCATGCACAAGTGGCATTTGGCAAAGGATAGGGGCCAAAAGCACCAGAGGAGGACCTGAGAAGAGGAGGCTTGGGGCTGCTCTGTGCACAGCCATTGCACAGAGCAGGTAAGTATTATGTGTTTACTATTTTACAGGGTTAAAAAAAAAGCCTTTAGAACCACTTTAATGTAAACTATAGGCAAAAATAGTCTTTTTAAACAAAAATGTAGCCTTTTTTCATTTCCTTTTTTTTAAAGTCCTTCATAACCTTCTTCTGTTAGCTACTCGTTTTTGCAGGGTTTTTTTTAACTGTTTGTATGTACACTTTTAAATCCTTTTACCCCTCTCCTTTTGTTGCAGTGTGCAACAACATGTTAATGTGCAATGTTCCAATCATTACCAGTTGTTTTGCAATGACTGCCCACTCATATAGAATAGGCTATTAGTGAAGAGCAACAGAAGGAAAACAGGATCTGCAACTGATAACAACATGGCTCCATTGGCATTTTGTACTTGAACACTGGGGTGGCATTGCCTGGCTACTGTACATTCAGATGTACAAGTTTCACCCATCTCAGATGAGACGGGTATGCACTGTGGTAGCTCCACTTTGGCTTCCAGAGGACCTTGTCCTTGCACTGCATTGTTACACAGAGACAATCATGGGCACAGATTGATAGACATTGACAGTCAGACCTATAACTGGATGCATTTTCTGCTGGCAGCACTCATGTTGGAGTGTACACCTAGTCTTCTGAAAGGGAGATGTGACTGTGCAAATGGGACTTGTCAGAAAAGAGGGTGGAGCATGAAATTATGGTGGGAGGTGTCTATTTTCACAGCTTGTCACATGTCAGAATATGTTTAGACTGTATAATCCACAGATTCCATCTATAGAGATATAATTTAGCATTTGTATACAGTACGTAGAGTGAGTACTCCATAGAGGCAATATCTTTTAAAAATTGTGAATGGCTTGCATTTTAAATCCTTATTATGCTAACCATATTAATATTCTAGTGAAATATCATTTTCCACCACTTTTCAGGTAATCAGCTCAGACATAGGATCAACGATTACTTTCTGGATGATAGACACAGGACGGAAAATCAAACAGTTTGCAGGCTGCCATGGAAATGCAGAGATTAGCACTATGGCTTTAGATGCAAGTGAAACCAGGCTGCTAACAGGGAGCACTGATGGCACAGTAAAGGTGAGGAGAACGTGATTTACAATATGTAACTGATCTCTGTTTGTTCACTGGGTTTACTCATGCTGTTAGCCAGTGATAGCTGTAAAACAAATTTATACACGGCATGGTTATATGTCCACAAATGTATCATGCTGGCTGCCTGGCCCATTTCTCATAAAAGAGCAGGAATGGGACACATATCAAATCTTAAAGGATACATTCACCTTTATATATAAAAAAACAAATGCACATTTTTTTTGCAGTTAAAAAAAAAGTGCATTTTTTATTTTTTGTTGCAGGAGCCTCTAAAGCATTCCAATAGCGATCAGCAGATTGCTGGTAACATGCAGGTCTCCTGCAGATCTGTCAGTATATACATCCCGTACAGGCAAGCAGATATACTGACAGGAAGGCTGAATGAACTATCACGGTGCTCCGTAACTAAGGCTGTTGGGACTTGTAGTTTCTCATTCACAGAACACAGGGAATGAGCGACACGGCTGGGCAGGCAGAGCTCCACACGGCCTCGTTTTTTAAACATTTGACAGCTAGCAAGGGGGGAGAAAATCCCCCCTTGGCCGTCAAAGTGGGGGAGTGGGGCCGGTCTGATCTTAACATGTTACATGTTACACTTTAAATATGGGTGTAACATGTAACATGTTATGAAAGGTGAACTTATCCTTTAAAGATGTTTGGCACCACTGATGAACTTGTGGATTATGCTTTGATGACCCCATACACTTGCAGAGGTTATGATCATATAAGTCAATTTTCCATCCTGTCTAAATCATATTCCAACTGCCTACAATAGCCAGGGAGAGTCAATTTCTGGCACAAAAGGCCAAGTATCATCAGATTTGGACTAAAATAACCTTACTGGGCCAATAAGAGGGCTGAACACCTGTCAAATTAGGGGGTTTACAGCAATTATTATATTTTAATATGTTTATAAAAGAAGAATTACAATGACACATTCTCATTTTAGCAAGGTCAGTTCAAACCTGATATTCATGTAACCAGGGTTTACATGTTGGGGGCAATCAAATATCTTACCCATTTACTTTCCACTTACTAAATGCCCACATTGCAGAAAGTTTGGAGTTTAAGTGATACCCTTCATTGGTTGACTTAAATAAAAAAAAAAGATGCAAGCTTTCGGCATGCCATAGATTCCGTCTTCAGACTTTGTTCATTTCTGAAAATGGTTTTGGAACCCATGCGTTTATACACAGTGTTACAATGAGGAGGAGTAATGAAATAAAAATATATATAGCTAACTTTCTTGGCACACTTTAGTGGCAAAGGCTGTTGTAAAGGGTTAGGCTGGCTATACGCTAGTAGATTTCTGTGCAAACAACCATACAATACTTTTCATCTGTGCATTTGATGATATGATGAATGTCATTTGAAAGTACTTCAAAAACTATTTACTTTTGCCATTCAAATTGGGAATGAATGGATTTTCCTATACAAAAACTACATTCACTGTTAGAAATTTTCCATTATGCTCCCTTGAATATTCTCATCACTGCTGTCAAAACAACAAACATCAATTTGACCCCACTAATGATTAAAAAAAGTGATTGAACATTCTTAAAACTAAAAATTTTACCAACATTCTACAAGTGTATGGTCAGCTTTAGGCTATAGAAATAAAGATCAGATTAGAAATTATATTGGGGTAATTGATTCAAAGATGAGAAGTCAAGGCACATTCCTCATCTTGAGTGAGTCTTTTTTAGTGTCAATTGTATTTTGCAAAAATATTATTTCATATAACTGAATTTTTTCTCTAATATTGTTTGGCCTGAGGTTGTCTGTGAAAATCACAAAGCACTCATAGATATACAACTGTTTTATAATACAACTAACTGGCCAAACTGGGCAATAGCCATCTCAAATCTATGGCAGGATTAAAGTTGATCATACACTAGTAGATTTACGAACAAGTGTTGGTAGAAACATTTGTACCAAAATTCTTATCAATATGTTTGATGTCTTGACAAATGTTTGAATGTACTTTAAAATTCTGCTTTTAACATTTGATTTTGAAATGAGTGTAGTTTCCCAAATGAAAACCATATTCACAGTTCAAAATTTGTTCTTTTCGAAAATATTTTCCATCATGGTGCTCCCAAAATTTCTTGTCACTGCAGTTGAAAATGAATGTCAATTTGACCTCACTAACAGCACCAAAATTGAACAAACATTCCTGAAATGCAAGTTTTTTTAACTTTCTAATTTATGCTGAGCTTTAAGCTGGCCTTAGATGGCCTCAAGACTAGAGATGAGCTAGGTATTCAAAAATTCGAATCGACTGATTCGGCGAATTCGTGGAAAAATTTTGATTCGACTCGAATATATTTGCTGCGAATTTAACTTATAAAAGGGTGTTTCTAGGCTTCAGAGAGCCTTTATATTAGTGCAGAACACTGTACCTTTAATTTAAATGCCCTTGGAGTCTGCTGGGGAAGAGAAATAATACTGACAGTCAGTATGACATGCAGATGAGTGCCGTCGATCTTAGAATCACCGCACACTTCACTCATTTGGGCAGTCACGGGGCCAAAACCAGAGTGTGGAGCCACAGTGTGGCGGTGGAGGCAGCAGCAATGGGAGGCCATACAGCACCCTATGACAAAAATGGAAACCACCAGCAGTGTGAGGAGACCTGAAAGTGGCACATGGCAGAGTGTGGCGATGGAGACAGCAGCAATGGCAGGCCGTACAGGGACCCATGACACACTCTGGACCTGGCAGCAGCATGAGGAGGCGGTACAGGGGCCCATGACAGATTACGGGCCTGGCAGCAGCATGAGGAGTCGGTACGGGGGCCCATGGCAGATTAGGGGCCTGGCAGCAGCTATGGGAGGCCCGTAATCTGCCAGCACCCTATGACAAAAAATGGAACACACCAGCAGTGTGAGGAGACCTGAAAGTGGCACATGGCAGAGTGTGGCGATGGAGACAGCAGCAATGGGAGGCCGTACAGGGACCCATGAGAGACTCTGGACCTGGCAGCAGCATGAGGAGGCGGTATAGGGGCCCATGGCAGATTAGGGGCCTGGCAGCAGCTATGGGAGGCCCGTAATCTGCCAGCACCCTATGACAAAAAATGGAACACACCAGCAGTGTGAGGAGACCTGAAAGTGGCACATGGAAGAGTGTGGCGATGGAGACAGCAGCAATGGGAGGCCGTACAGGGACCCATGAGAGACTCTGGACTTGGCAGCAGCATGAGGAGGCGGTATAGGGGCCCATGGCAGATTAGGGGCCTGGCAGCAGCTATGGGAGGCCCGTAATCTGCCAGCACCCTATGACAAAAAATGGAACACACCAGCAGTGTGAGGAGACCTGAAAGTGGCACATGTTTGGGGCATGATTCATGGCGGATTTAGTCAGTTGTGTCAGGAACTGGTGGTTTGAAATCCAGACTAATCCACGCCTGATTCATTTTCACAAACGTGAGTCTCTCCACACTTTGGGTGGACAGTCGTGTCCTCCGCGGAGTTGCAATACCTCCTGCCGCACTCAACACGCGCTCCGATGCCACGCTACTGGCCGGGCATGACAGCCTTTCAAGGGCAAATTCAGCTAGTTGGGGCCAAAGGTCAAGTTTCGTTGCCCAGTAGTCAAGGGGATTGTCTACCTCGGTTGGCAGGGTGCTGTCCAAGTAGGCCTAAGCCTGTTGTTTGAGGTCCTGCTCCAGGTCCACCTGATGCTGCTGCTGCTGCTGCTGCCGCTGGTTAGTAGTTTCCTCACTGCGCTGGTGAAGAAAGCTACTCATCATCGACTGCAGACTGAGGCAGCTGCTGCTGGTGGAGCTGCCACTGCTCCTACCACCCCACCCCTCCCCTGCTGCCATGGCAGCGGAACGCGAGCGCACAGGGCCCACAGTGTCTGAGGATGGACGTTGGCGCAGACAGGCAGAGACCAGCTGACTA